TATTTATTTATTTACACACCTTATAAGACCCCATATACTCAAAATTTAAATTATGAAAAGTCCCATGAGTCTTTGCTGCCTGAGCATACATTTAATTTTCTCCATGTCCATGGGCCGAAAAGAAAAAAATCGAAAGGATGTGGGCAACCACACTGGCTGCTAGCGTAATCATAAAAAATAAAACAACATTACTTAAGTATTTGCATTTCTTGTATTATTGCATTTGGCCCACGGCCCTCAGATTGATTTTAATTTRGACCCTCTCTGGGAATTTTTTTTTTAAATTTTGGCCCTCTCAGGGAAAATGTTTGGGCACCCCTGGTCTAGTACATTGTTGCGTGGTACAATGCATCAAATTATGTTTTAATTGCTCACTGTCCTGAACAAATAAATTCATTTATTCATTCATTTGCTTAAGTTTCTAAACAAATACGCTGTTTGAATAGAAATAAAGTGAATCTGAGAGTCTAAACTCCTAATTTAAGAACCAGTGCTGTAACAAGCAGGGTTTGGAAGAAACAAGTTAATTTTTTTGAACAACAAATACAAAATAGGAACCAGTAAACTCGTCTTTAAAACCTTTTTTACGGAGTGATTAGTGTCTGGCCTTTCCTCCACCCCTGACACCAACAGCTGGAGCTCTGACTTGTCCCCCCTCTTTCACTGCATAAATTAATCTCTCTCTTCGACGCTCTAAATCTTTTATTCTCCTTCCATTCTTCTCTGTTACATCTGCAAGCCTGTGACTGGTGCAGCAGAAAAGCTGTTTCTATTTACCTCTCCAAACCTTCTATATCTGCTTACTGTCAGTGAAAACCAAGGAAACTGATCGCAAAGCTTATTATGGTGCCAGGAGTTGGATGTATGATGTGTGTATGAGCCTTTGGGAGCTACACACACACACACACACACGCCACACACACACATCAACCCTCTACCATCCCCCACCCCCCTCCCCACCTCATGTGATGCCAGTCACATGTTTTCCAGGCAAGCAGCTCACTAAATCAGAGTCAGACTTTTATTTTTAACTGCTTAAAACCCTCTACCTGGTCTCAATGTTTAGTAGAAATGACTAGTTGTTGGTAGTTACTTGTTTTTTGTCAGTGTTTTGATTTACCACTTCCTCTCAGCTACTTGCAGTTACTGCTGTTGCAGTCTGCTTTAGTGATCACGTGCAAAATTTGCTCAAGGGACAGATTTTTTTTTCTAAATAGTCTGTGTGGGGGCCAGTTTTCTACTAGCTGTAGAGTAGTATACATCGGCTTAACTGTTATATTTAATTTTGTCTATAGTTATCAGATACAAATTGGATTCATTAAAAAAGAAAAAGGTATACATTTTTGTGAGATGTTTTTGTTGTGTATGTCAAAGGTCAAAACAAGATAATGTGAAATAAACTATTTAAAAAATGACGTCAGTTTGAGATACAAAACTGCAGAAGGRCTTTTTAGTCTGAAGAAACATTAAACATCTAAACTGTCCATAGATATAAGCTAGGGTTGGGCAGTATTGGTCAGTGTCTGAGGTGTGTTCAGTAACAATTAATAATGATTAAGAAACAGCTGCTTGTGAGCATTTACATGCGTCTAGCCAACAAGAAAATTGCAGAAAAAAAACTGCAGGAGTCACAGAATGGCTTTGCCCCTTATTATGTCGAACAGATCAAAAATAATCCCACCTATGTCTGTTAAAGGTTTTAAGTTTCAGAATAATCTGACTCTTACCATGGTCGTATCTGCTCTGCTGCATGCTTTTAGCGAGGAATGTCTCTGGGCCGATAAAGTTTGTAGTCATTTKCTCATTTCCTTCAAAATAGATTGTTCATTTTCAGAAAAAAAAGAGTAAGAAATGCTATTTATCGTAACTCTGGTTTTCTTCTCTTGACCTATCGACACAATTTAAAAACTGCTGTATAGTTTGAAGTCTCTACTTTTGACACAGTTTGTAACGGAGTCTCACAATGAGGTTTTCCCCCCATACAAAAAATAGAGGTTGAAATCACGTGACTGAATGATGTCARGCTGACGTCGAGAATCAGGTTGTGTCTAATTTATCAGTAAAGTGGTGTTTCCTGGGCTGGATGGATGATCTTATGCGCTACTTTTGGCCCATAGGCCAGCAGTTGATAGTCCTACATGTCTACAAGCTCCTCATCTGAGATTTATAGCTGCCTTTTCTAACATACATTGTTATGCAGCATTTACTTGCTCTTGTCTTTATATTGCCTGTTGCCATGGTAACTGGTGTGTAGGTC